CTGAGTAGAGTTCCCTGTGCTAAACAGTAGATCCTTAATATTTATCTATTTTATGCATAGTGTCAGTAGCGTATATGTGTCAATCCCGGTCTCCCAATTCATCCCACCATCCCCATTCCCCCTTAGTATCTGTACGTCTGTTCTCTACCGCTGTGTTTCTCTTTCTGCTTGGTAAATAAGATCGGCGATACCGGTGTTCTCAGATTCCACATATATGCATCTTTAAGTGGGGGGTGGATCAGTCTCTCATGAGGGTGCAGTAAAGATGTCAGGCAGAGCTGCCGTCATCTGAAGGCTTGACGTAGGCTGGGGGATCCATTGCCAGGATGGCTCTCTCACGTGGCTGTTGAAGAGACCAAGTTCTTTGCTGGCTGTTGGCATGAGTGACCTCACACCAGAGCAGCTGGCTTCCCCCAGGGGGTGGGAAAGCAAGAAACAGGGGTCATAGGGGTCATCTTGGGGACTGGCTACCACAGGAGGCAAACACTTTGAGACTTTGCATTTCTGATAGTCTAACTGTAATAAACTTAATGATTGTGTGTGTTAGTTGCTCAGTTATGTCCAACTCTTTGAGACCCCATGGACTGCAGCCCTCCACGTTCCTCCGTCCATGGGATTTTCCAGGTAAGAATACTGCAGTGGGTTGCCAAGTCCTTCTCCAAATGATAGTCTACGACCTGCATATTTTTACATCGGAGGTAATTTTTCTTCAGAATCTTGAAGGTATTCCTCCATTATTCCTGGCTTTGCTTGTCTCTGTTGAGAAATTCAGCATTTGGATTTGTCATCCTTATCTCTTTTCTCATCTTTTTCTCTTTGCCCCCTGTGTCCTGAAACTTCCCCAGCATGTTGGGGAAAGACATATCAGCCCAGAGCCCATCTCTGTAAATATCTGTTGAGTGACGCCTGGATGGAAGGATGGATGGACAGATGGACAGATGGATGGATGGATGGACAGATGGATGGATGCACAAGTAACAATTGGTTCCAGGCTACATGATGAATGGCTGCTATGGCCGATCTCCAGTCTTGCAGCTGCCAAGAGGAGGAAGAAACTACAGAGTCCAGCTCCTGACTCCAAGGCTGGGCTCCACTTTTTCTGGCTTTTGACTCACTAAGGCACAGAGGTTCTCAATCTGGGGTCTCTGGACCCCCAGATGGTCTGTAGATAGAGTTCAAGGGTGTCCATGAACTTGGTGGGAAAAATGATATCACAGGCAACAAACAACAGTAACATTAGTAGTACTTTGAAACCAACACAAAGCACATATATTTTTGTTCTCGTATTATAGTCGTCACAGATATCTCAAAACATCATCTCTGCTTATCACTACTTTGATATTATGATTGTTATCAGATACTCTTAGATATAGTTTACTCTTTCCCAGTCTTATCATTAATGCACTGAAAAAGCACATATAGTACTAGATCACAGAATTGGTTTTTACAATATTCTGAGAAGTTTATTCCACTGTCATTGTTCCTGGGTTCTTCTTCATAATTCTTTGTATTTTATTTTCGTAATTCTCTATTTCTGTAATTTCGTAATTCTGTAATCTATTTCCGTAATTCTGTACTTTACAAACATTACTCAGAGAAGGGGTTGATTGGCTCCATCACATTTATACTCAGGGGTCTGTGGACAGAGACAGTTAAGATTGCCTACACCTTAGCAGAAGCCAAGGGGAGCCCCAGAGAGCCTGGAAGCCCAGGAAGAGTTAAGCTCGGGTTAGACTACCCTGGCCAGGTTGGTCACTCTGCCTCACTGCTCCCCTGAGCCCACAGATGTCTCATCTGGGGGTGTGGAAGGAGAGGAGGGTCCACCACGGACAGCTGAGAGCTGGGCCAGGTTCCCACCTCAGCAGCCATACCCAGGCAGCTCCAGACAGTAAGAATCCTTTAGGTGGACACTTCGAGGGATCTGACGTTTAAAAGAGAAAGTTTCCTCCTAGGCCCAAGAGGCTAATACCTAGTTATTTCTGTGTCCCTTGGAGCCATGGGCCAAAGCTTGCCCCAGGACTGCAGAAAGAGACACAGAGACAGAAAATACTCTTGGCTAAGGTGGTCAGAGCTGGAATTAGCACCTGCGCAGTGCACCACCCAGACACCCCTGCAGGACCCAGGCATTCCCTCCTTCTCCCTGCTGGTGGGACTTCCAAGTGCTGGTGGCTCACAGCTGAGTCCCTCGCCAGGCACTGCCTTCAGCTGGAAGGAGCTGACTCCCATCCTGGATCTGTGATAACTGCAAAATCTGCGAAGCCCCCAGCAGTCAGCATTTATTCCATTCATGTGTCTGCAGGCCAGCTGAGAGTCACGCAAGACCTCTGATAGCCTCGTTTCATGGGCACATTGTGGCTTTCACCCACAAGCCTCAGCCATGGCGAGTCAAGTCACTGAGCATTATCAAGCTTTGGTGCAGAGAAGTGCCTGGCACCTCTAGTGGGGAAAGTGCGAAGACATGCAGCAAACAGGACGCGTGCAGAAAGGTGTGATGACATAGGCCGATAATTTACCGTGTTTGTTTACATTTAGAAACGTACATGAGAAAGAATCAAACCTCTATCATGTTGTTACTGAACCCAGGTCCGACTGCTCTCCACTCGATAGTCAATTCTCAAGAGACAAGGGTTGGGAGGAAAGGAAAGGTGATTTTATTTCAGATGCTGGCAACCGGGGGAGAAGGTGGACTTGTGTCTGAGAACCAACTCCCAATCACTGCTTGGGAGGCAGATGTTTTTAAAGGGGAGTTTCAGTGTTGTACGGACAGAGGGCGGGAGCAGGATGGCACAGTCATCTCAATATCAGTGATGACAGTCATCTCAATATCGGTGATGGTGGTCAAAGTTGGCTCCGACAGTGATCTCAATATTGGTGACAGTGGTCACAGTCGACTCCGACAGTCATCTCAATGTCAGTGACGATGGTCATAGTTGGCTCTGACAGTCATCTTGATATTGGTGATGTGGCAGTCCATTCAGCATCATCTTCATTGTTTTGAGTACAGTTAATCTCTAGTTTTAGCGTTTGTTCCCGCTTCCTAGGGACAGTTCTTGGAAGTGGAGTGGCTTATGTCACAGCTTTTGTGTGGTCATCATGAGGTCATCTTCTCATCACGTAGTCACCTTCTTCCACCTGGTGAGGGGGCTTCAGTATCTGAAAAACAGCTCACAGGATATGGCTCAGAATATTATCTATGACTCTTGAGAAGTAACTAGAGGTCCTTGGCTCTGCTTAGTGACTAAACTAGTGTGTTTTGCCTCATGTAAAGGCTTACAGTGTGAGGCATAACTGAATTCTAGGGCGAAGGTTGTGCTTACAATATGCCACCACTCTTTTTGCATGCTATGTTACAGTATCTCAGCCTGTAGCCTAATGCAAGACCCTGTGCACACCCACCAGAGCCGTCAGCATCAGAGAACCCTAAAGGGTGAGCCTGCAGTCCAGAGCCAGAGAGCTGGACCTTATCACCATGCCCATCAAATGCCCAAGAGACAAGCAGGGCCAGCTCGAGACGGCCAGAAAACAAGGGAGGAGGGAACACAGGCCAATCCATAACTCAGGACATGAAGCCAGTGCAGAAAAGATCCAGGGTTCCTGGGGAAAACGGGAGACACTGGCCTCAGAGATGTAAGAGGAGAGAGGCCTAAACATCTCCCCAGGACTGAAAGGGGATCAGGCAGGCAGAGTGGTAAGTGGGAGCCATGGAAGGCATTTGAACAGAAGGAGAGAGCAGCCATGTGACCGCCGTGAACCATCATTCCCTGGAGCATCAGACTTCTTGGTACATCTTGCCTGGAGCATAAATTTAGACCACTGGGGCTGTCGGGGACAAAGATCCACACAGATCAGCCGTGGCAGGGACTTGTGTCCACAGAAATCCCTCAAGACTGCTCTCCATCGGAACAAGCACGAATTCAAGGGATTAAAAGAGCCGGTGGCCTGTTGGGCTGAGTTGGCATTAACACCCATGAAATAACAGTCTCTGAAGTCGCCCAGTCCATCTCTCATCTCGAAAGCTCTCGCAAACCCATAAAATTAATGGCAAATCGTCTCAAATCGGTTCAGTTAACTCTCGGAGCTTTGTTTCAGCCTTGCCCTCCGGAAGCCAAGCCACAGCTGCAGGGGGCAACTATTAAGGCCTTGTCTTAATTCTCCAGAAGCTGGGAATGATCTTTCGTCTGCTGGGGTGTTGATGTCTCTTTCAGGCCTTCTGTGCAGGGGTGGCTGAATTTGTTTTGTTACAGGTCAAGTGACGTTCCCTGGGGAGTTTGTCCTTGGGTTGAATTTGTTTTGTTACAGGTCAAGTGACGTTCCCCGGGGAGTTTGTCCTCAGGTTCTGGCAGACGCTGTGCTGCCCGCCGAGGGAGGAGGGGTGTTTGGACCAGCTGCAGGAGGGGCCGAGCCTGCGGGGCTCCACATTTCAGAACAAACAAGAGCCTCTTCTGGGGTTGAGGTTCAGAGGAGCACCGCCCATCACGTCTATCACTCTGGTCCCCTGTCTCTCTCTCTTGCTCTCCTGTCCCTGGGATTCTGCCCTTCCCTTTCAGCATCAGCCTTCACCTCTGCCTTGCCCCTGCTTCTCCCTTGGCATGAGACCTGATGACTGTGTGTGTTTCTCTGTCTGTGTCTCTCCCCGGGTCCCGGCTGTCTTTATGTCTGTCCCTCTATATCCTTCTGTCTGCCTGCCTGTCCCTTTATCTCTAAGCCTCCGTCTCTCTGTGTCCACGTTTTCCTCTGAATCTGAGTCAGTGGGTGTCACGGTGCTGTCTCGGTGGTGATGGTCATTGGGAAGCCCTAGAGCCCCCTCTTGGAGATTCACTGCACCCACGTCAGCAGCCGCAGGGACTGCCCTACAGGGGAGAAGCCTTTCTGGGTCCTCCTGTGCTTTCCACCTGACTTGCTCGACGACAGACCCACTCCCTATCCCACCCGACCCCACCCCCAACACCTAGGACCATCCGGCTTAACCTTAGACTCTCAGGGGCGGGACCCTACTTCTTGGTATTTCTGTCTTTCCAGTTCTCTCTTTTCCTTCCTGCATCTCTGCGTCTCTGCTTATATCTTCCTTGAGGACCCACCTCTCTTCCAGCCAGCCCCCCAGCTCCACCCGCACCCCATCTCTCTGTCTCTCTCCCTTTTTCTTTCTCTATCTCATGTCTCCGACTCCTTGGCCTGAGGCCCAGGGTGGGATGGGGGTTCCTTGGCCTCTCCCAGGAGCCAGGGGTCTGGGAGGGTGACGTGGGAAGCTGTGTGTGGGGGTGAAAGGGAGAGCGGGGCTCTCCTTGGGAGGATGAAGAGAGCCAGAGGATCAGGATGCCGCAGCTGGAGTGAGCTTCCAAGTCCTGGCAGGGTGAGCTTCCAAGTTCCAGCGGCAAGTGCGAGGGGAGGTACCCAGGGCCAGGCTGCCTGGGGTGGCAGCCAGTCCCCGCGGGCTCCCCAGAACACCGCCAGAGATCAGCCCAGACCACAGGAGCTGAGGATCAACACGAACAACCTAAAAGGGAGGAGGAGTGGAAATGGGCTTCAGAAAGCACTTGGCTGTTTCTTTTCCCCGTCCACATATTCCCTTGCCCTCTCTCCTGTCACTCACCCTGTGACTCCTTATCGTCTGTCTGAGGACCAACTCCTTTATCTTGGTCTTTTGCAAGCTGTCTCTGTCCTCGGAGGGTGTTCTGGCAGGAAAATCTGGCATCTGCCTGATGCTGCAGACTCTAGAGGTCATCAAGAACTTGACACATGCTCCTGCAACAAGCCAGTGAGAGAACAGCATGTTCCCATTTTACAGATGAGAAAACCAAGACTCAGAGAGGGTGATCGACTTGCCAAATGAGTAAACGAGTGAAGCTCATGTCAGCCAACCTGACCACCTTTCCCTTCCCTGGGACACCCGTAGCTTCCTCCGGAGGTGGGGGGGGGACTTTTCCTTCCAGGAGGGACATACCACTTCCCTCGCCCACCTCCTGACCTGGGTCCTTCTTGCTTGGTGACTCCGGACAACTCCCCACATGACTCCAGAGCCCCCTGTGCTGAGTCGGGGCCCAGGCTGTGGCGGTAGGAGTTTGCACCGTAGCCCTGGCAGCTCCTTCACTGATCTGTCTCCTTTTCCTCCACGCTCAGCTTGATTATGCCAGGAGGAGGTGGGGGAAGGAGCTGGCCCCAGTACAGATCTTTCTGAATCCTGGAACACTGACTGTCAGCGACTTTGGTGGCAGGTGAATTTCCAACCCTGTCTTACATAAGGAAATGCAAAGCTCACATTTCCAACCAACCAACGTATGTGTGTGCTCAGTTGTTTCCAACTTTTTGCGACTCCACAGACTCTAACCTGCCAGGCTCCTCTGTCCATGGGATTTCCCAGGCAAGAATACTGGAGTGAGTTGCCATTTCCTTCTCCAGGGGATATTCCTGAGTCAGTGATAGAACCTATGTCTCCTGCATTGCAGGCAGATTCTTTACCACTGGGCCACCAGAGAAGCCCTCATATTTCCAAACTTCTCAGAAAACCATTCCTTAGCTATGACCTACCATCAGGTCATGGGGGCAGGATGAAGGATGAGTGGGTGAAGCAGGCCAGGCCAGGAAGGAAGGCGGCTCAGGTCAGGGCTGAGCTGGGCTTCAGAGGGGCAGCCTCAGAAGATGGGTGTGGATCTGGTAGCTGATGGTGGTGAGCATCTGGGAAGAGCTGATGAACTGCAAGGCACGGTGGACGTCTCATCTCCTTTAATCCTCACTTCAGCCCTGGAAGCAGGGGGTGCCACCCTCCATCTTTAGAACAGGGATCTGAGACTGAGCCCCCAGCTCCCTAAGGCCCCAAAGCCTAGCATGTCTGTTTGCCCTGCAGTGAAGCGACTTTCCCGTGGGAGGTAACAAGGGCTTCATTCCTGGGAAGCAGTGACTCTCGCTGTTGTAGGGCAACAAATCTCAGATGAGGGTTGGGCTAAATGCCTTTGGTCTCGAGCACTTGATTCAGACCATCCTCCACCAGTGTGGCCAGAGCTCAGCCCTCTGCTGTGCATATGGGCTGGAGGGAGACCAGGTTTTACCCGGGGCTCCAGTGCAGACCTGGAAGGGACTCCCCTGGGAAAGGAAATTATGTGTCTTGAATGTGACACTGTCACTTTGCTTGTCAGAGTGAAGAATCGTGTGTGTATGCATATGTTCATTCACTCATGTCTGATTCTTTGAGACCCCATGGACTGTAGCCCACCAGACTCCTTCTGTCCATGGAATTTTTCCAGGCCAGAATTTTGGAGCAGGTTGCCTTTTCCTACTCCAGGGGTTTTTCCCATCCCAGGGAATGAATCTGCATCCCTTGAGTCTCCTGCATTGGCAGGTGGATTCTTTACCACTTTGCTACCTGGGAAGTTGCTGAGCAAAGAGTTGGGGAAAACCTAAGTGCCCATCTAGATCTAGATGTGATCTAGAATACATCTAGATGTATCTAGAATACATCTAGTTACATAGATACACATCTAGAAAGATCTAGATGCATAGATAATAGATCAGCAACTATAAAGGCCTAAGGCGGAGACTTCCCTGGTAGTCCAGTGGTTAAGAATCTGCCTTCCAACACATGGGAGGCATGTTCAATCCCTGGTTGGGGAACTAAGATCCCACATGCCGTGGAGCAAAAAAAAAAAAAAAAAAAGGCTTAGGGAGGTCTCTGAGACTGACAAGGAGCAAAGTCAAAGATATATCATATTATGTTGATAGCAAGTTGCAGAATAGGATATAAAATGAGATAAAAAAATTATCTTAAAAGATACACAATGCCTTATGCTCCCCTAAGTAGTTATAAACATCTGTTAACACATAAAAGGTCTGGAGACACCCCAAACCGATGATGGAGTTCCTTCTAGGGAAAGGACTGGACTGGAGAAGGGCATAGGATATGACTGGAGTGGAGGTTGACAAGAGAAAATTGAGATTTCTCCATGATGCTTGAATTGCTTACAAGAAAAATGTAATCATGTGCTTCTTTAGTAGTTGAAAGTAAATGCATAAGAAAGCAACAAGAAAATGGAAAATCTTCTTTGTGGATGATAAATACATGGAGTGGCAGCTTGATTTGACTGATTGATTCACTCATTCATCCGCCCACTCAGCCAATAGACATTAAAGAGTGTATGTCCTCTGGGACAGGCCCTGTCTAGGAACAGGAGCTGTAGAAATGTAAGATGGAGCTTAGTATCCCATGAGAAAGGTAAATGGCAAAAAAAAAAAAAAAAAATGACAGTCCAGGGTGATAAAATCATCCCAGAAGCTGTGACAGCCGAGGGAAATACACAGTCCAGCTGGCCCACAAGTACCCAGGAATTTTTATCTGGAGTGACATTTAGGTGGGGCTTTGCAGGATGAGTAGCAGCCCGACTAGCAAACAGGGAGAGGGGTCCCAGCAGAGGGGACAGTGTGAGGAAACTTTGCACAGCTGCAGAACCTGGCACCATTCTCCGGGGGCTGGGACCTGTTTCCCCCTCCAGCTGTCTTCCTCCCAGAGCCAGTGCTTCTGGTGAGAGTGTCCTCCGTGTCACTGGCATACAGACACCCCTATCCTAGCCTAACTCTGCCCTTTCAGCCACATCATCTCTCTGATCCTGTTTCTTGTCTGGAAAAGGGCAGAATGTGGGGGAGGAAGGAAAATTCCTACCCTGCCAAGTTTCCAAGATCGTGATGAAGATCAAGTACGATAATGGTTGGAAAAGTGTTTCATAAAACATAAATATTATTCAGATTCCTGTCTTCTTTCAAGAGGCTGAGCCAGTTGGCTGAACAGAAACATTAAATTAAAAAAATAAAAAGAATCTTAATATGCCCCTCTCATATCTCTAGACCTCCATTAACAGCAAAACCCTTTCAGGTTGTCTCCTTCCTGAGAAGTTAGGGACACGGGGAGAAGGGGCAGGGGTGGGATGAGAGGAGGTGGCTTCATCATAGCCATGGGTCATAAGGACAGTGGCCTTTTCCAGCCAGTCCTGTGGTGGGGCCAGGCCAGGCTCTGGTCCAGCTATGAAGTCACCAAATAGGATTTTCTTTGCTCTTGAACTTGGCTGTTTTCCTTTTTTTAAAAAACATCTTGCCAAGGAAACCAAATCTTGGAAGATTCTGAACTCTTCCCATCCTCCAGAGGGGAGTTCTGGCCTTTGTCTGGGGGGTACCCAAGGGGCCCCGTGCTGAGAGGGCCATGGCCACCTTGGCCCTCCACGGCTTGGGGTATGAATGACAGTGCTGCTCAGAGCTCCCAGGGGCCTTTAACTTTTTCTGGGATCAGAGCTGTGAGGTGAAGGGAGGTGGCTCAATCAGCAATGAGGATGGGGATGGGGGCAAGGAGGCTTCGAGGTTCTGCTGAGTTTGTACAGCTTAGCTCATTGTGGATTTCCATCCACAATCAAAGAACAAGGAGCTGTCCATAAAAGCTGCCAACAGAGCTATTATCCCAGAATGAAATCCACAATGCTTGAGTGTAACTGCCAGTCATGGACAGTGATGGCCTGAGAAACCCAGGTTTACCATTTGTCAAGCAAAAATCCGAAGGTAGCTCAGGGAAAAGCTATGATAAGCTGGAGCCTTGTCTGTTGAATTCAGCTCAGGGTGCAAAGGATTAGTGTGGATGGCGGGAACTTGGGATGAAGATCCTAGCTCATGGGCTGAGGGGGTGGAGGTGGGGTACAGACACCTAATAAAGCAGGATGGATGCTGAAGCAGCAGACACAGTCAAGGGTCCCCAAGGTCACATTTAGGTTTAGGAATAGGACTCACATGACTCAGAGAGCTAATTTTTATTCATGGTTATGCTTTGTAACAATGAGGGGATACCATTTAAGGGGTTAAGGGGCACAGGCTCGGGGCCAGGAAAGACCAGGCATGAGCTTCCCTTTGTCATCTCCCAGCAGAGTCTTACAGACAGAGCTAATTCATGTCGCAACATGTGACAGCCAGAGATATTCACCTGAGTTTTGGGGTCTACATCAAAACATGGTCCAAGTGGCTGACCTTAGTCTCCAGCCCCTCCAGAGGTCAAACTGGTACCACGTGGCCCAAAGCCCCCACCATAAATCACATTGCTTGTGTAGATAACCTGGCATGGCCCCAAGACACACATTGGGAAGATTACTTCCAGGGTGAAGAGGTTATATCTCAAGAACTGATCCAGGGCCAGACTTCTCTCTGGAATGTGCAGGGTGTGGACAACCCAGACCTCCTGCGAGTCAGCCCTTTGCCAGTAGAACTCAAGGAGAACTCATAGCCTGGTTTCTTTGCCCTGCTGGGTAAGACTGGTGGAGATGGGGCAGGAGAGAAGCTGGCCCAGTTGGGTCATGACTGGCAGGAAAGAGCTGCTTACCGGGAGCCTGACCCAATTAGACTGAGGGAAGATTGAGAGCGGGAAAGCACCTGGGAGGACTAGTGCATCCATTCTAGGAGGGAAGTTCAACTGGGTCGAATGTTGTTATAAAGATGCTGTGTGTGCTGGACTTCCCCAGTGGTCCAGTGGGGATGCAGGAGACATTAAGAGATGCAGGTTTGATCCCTGGGTTGGGAACATCCCCTGGAGGAGGGCATGGCAACCCACTCCAGTATTCTTGCCTAGAGAATCCCATGAACAGAGGAGCCTGGTAGGCTATGGTCCATAGTGTGGCACAGTCTGACACGACAGAAGTGATTCAGCACACACGCATAAAAGAACTGCGTGTTTAGCGAAGGAACAAGAAGGAAAGTCTTATTGTTGAGTATCTCTTCTTGTTGTTTCTGAGATCATGACTCGGATATTAAAACAAAACTCCACCCATCCATTCACCCACCCACTTTCTGAGATGGGAGATGTCAGTGGGGAAGGCACGGCACCCTCAGAAGAAACCTGGGGTCCTGCTATTAGGAGAAAAACAGAAGGACAATGTGGTTGATTCTAACAGGTCATGACAATGTGGGAGGTGACTGGATGAGCTGGTCTCCAGAAGACAGAAACAGGACAAGAGAGTGAGATCAAGCTGGAGGTTTGGGCTCACAGACAAAGGGATCTGCTCTCATCCAGAACTTACAAAGCCAAGCAGGGCTGCCTTGACTGGTAGTGAGCTCCCTGTCACTGGGGCGTGCAAACAGGGGCCGCGTGGCCACTTGTCAGGGATGCTGTGGAAGTAATTGTTACTCTGGGAGGAAGAATGAACCAAGATGAACCTCTCCTCCTTCTCTCTCCACAGGAAACTGCATCTGGGCTGGGGCATTAACCACCCTTTGTATATTTAAAACCCCACAATTTTAAATTTCAACCCAGACCACTCTCTTTAACTCCAGTACCAAGTCAGCTTTTTCCATTGTATGTCCAGTATTTATAATATGTCTTAATACAGAGTGGGTGTTGAGTAAGTATTTTTGAACAATTGGATGGACACAACCTTCCAACTCATTCCATTTCTCTTTTCCCTTGGTTTTGTACCATCACCACTTTGAACAAGCAGCCTTCTTCCTGCATATCATGGTCCGTGACCTTTACATCAGCTGTGCTAGCTTCATTCTTCTCCATGCCTTATCTCCACCCGACCCCCAGGACCCCCGGGGCATAGACCAGACAGTCTACTTTGCTTGTCGTTGTCCAGTGCTCTGCCTTTGTGCATGTCCTGCCTTGTTATGTTTGTCTCCTTCTGAGACTGTGAGTTTCTGGAAGTAGTGATGGTACCTGATTCATCATTGCATACCCAGTGGCCATTCTAGGCACTGGCATCGAGCAGGGGCTCTGAACCCTAGTGATGTCACAAATGGCAACATTCCTAGTTCTCACCTTAGCGCAGATGAGCTGGGGCTGGTCACACCTCCCTGTGCCTTCCACCAGTGGAGCATGTATTCAGTTAATGAACTAACTCTTCCAGGGGTAGGAAATCTATTTCGCTTTAATGAAATCTAATTAGTGCCTTCACTGTGGTGGTCTGGGCCCTTTCAGACTAAAGATGTTGAATGAGGAGGGACGCTTCTTCCTGTAACCCAGAGGTGCCTTCCCTGCCTCCACCACCCTTCCAGGAATAGCACTGCCAGCCACTATTTCTCAGCTTCGTTTATTCAAAAAATGAACATCTGTTTCCTGTATCTCCCTTTCTCATGATTCTTTGAGTGTTACTCTGCAGAGTAACATTGGGAGGATATTCTTGCACTTACGCGTCTACTCACCCATCTTCTCATTCTACCACTTACTCATTTTCCTATCTGCACATGTATTCATCCATTCATCCACTCTTCTATCTGAACACTCATTCATTTAGCCACCTGCTCTCCCAAAGACATAGCTACCCACTCATCCACCCACCCAGCTATCTGTTCAGTCACCCACCCATCATTCCACTCATCTATCTGCACACCCATCATTCTACTCATCCACTTATCCACCCATCCATCCATTCACCCATCTATGCTTTCATCCATCTATCCATCCATCCATCCACCTATCCACCCATCCATCCATCATCCATCCACCGATCCATCCATCCATCCACTCATCTATCCATCCATCCATCTACTCATCCACCCACCCATCCATCCATTCACACATCTGTTCTTTCATCCATCTACCCATCCACCCATTCATCCACTCCATCAGTCCATCCACCCATTTCCCGCCCCCCCCCCCATGCATCCACTCATCCACACATCCACTCATCCATTCATGCAAAGTCAGCCAACAGACATTTCCTTAAGCATCTACTTTATGTGAAGTCCTTTGCCTGACCCTAGGGAAACAAGATGAACAAGATTCTGTTGCTCCCCTGGATAAGCTTCCAGTCTAGAAAGAAAAAAAGCAGCACACAGCATTGTGCTCTTACATTAATGAACTCTTCCCTCAGGAAAATCTGGGGTAAAATACCAGCCCAGCTACTTAGTAGCTCAAATTGCTTCACTTCTTTCTGCCTCTGTTTTCTCACTGCAAGTAGTGCCTGTCTCATGAGTAATTATAGCGATTAAATGAGATATTCATGTAAAGTACTTAGTGGGAAGCCTGTTATATATTAGGCAATCAACAAGTGATCCATAATATTCTATTGTTTTAGTGGTCATTATTATCTATTCTGCCATACATTAGAGATAAGATCTTATGACTTAGGCATTTAATGATGACTTTATACACTCAGTGAGTATATTTACTGAATATCTACTGCATATCCCAGCCTGTGCTAAGCCCTGTGACCTTCAGAAGTTTAGAATCTTATCGTGTAGATAATACAGAGACACTTGAAATCATTCTGTAGTAATAATAACCATTAATCTTAACAATGCTTTGGCCCCCTGATGTGAAGAGCTGACTCACTGGAAAAGACCCTGATGCTGGGAAGGATTGGAGGCAAATAGAGAAGGGGCTAGCAGAGGATGAGATGGTTAGATAGCATCACTGACTTGACTGACATCAGTTCAGTTCAGTTCAGTTCAGTTGTCTCCGACTCTTTGCGACCCCATGGACAGCAGCATGCCAGGCCTCCCTGTCCATCACCAACTCCCAGAGTTTACTCAAACTCATGTCCACTTAGTTGGTGATGCCATCCAACCATCTCATCCTCTATCGTCCCCTTTTCCTCCCGCCTTCAATCTTTCCCAGCATCAGGGTCTTTTCCAATAAGTCAGTTCTTCACATCAGGTGGCCAAAGTATTGGAGTTGCAGCATCGGTCCTTCCAGCTTGTGAGTAGCAGCCAGGGTGTCTTAGGATGCAGCCCCGCTTCTGTCCAGTGAGTGACGGGGTTGCACCCGAAGGAGGGCTCTCTCGGGAAGGCGGGGGCAGGACCGAGGGTCACCGTAACAGCTGAGAGATGGAAATTCGCCTGTCATCGTGCCCTTCACCCTGACTGTCACTGAATATCTCAGAGATCTGCCAGCTGCTTCTGGTGGCCTGTTTATTGCACTTTTGGTTTTTCCTTTTTTTGTTGTTGTTTGCTTTTAAGAAATATTTTATTTTTCTTATTCTTTTTTTCCCCTTAATTTATTTTTTAGCTGCACCACGTTGGCATGTGGGATTTCAGTTTCCAAGCAGGGATTGAACCTGGGTCCCTTGCACTGGAAGCGAGGAAGTTAACCCACAGGACCCCCAGGGAAGTCCTTGTTTATTGCCCTTTTGAAGAAGACCATGTGACCTTGGAAGCCGAGGGCGGCGTTAGGCAGTCCTCAGGCCCAGCAGGAGCACCCACATCGTGGCGTTCTGAGATTTGAATCTGCCTGGGTTTGGTCAGGGAGCCACAGTTAGTGTCGATGACATGGGGATCAAGGCTGCAGTGGGGAAGGTGTGTGTGTTAGTCACTCAGTCGTGTCTGGCTCTTTGCGACCCCATGGACTGCAGCCCACCAGGCTCCTCTGTCCATGGGATTCTCCAGGCAAGAATACTGGAGTGGGTTGCCATGCCCTTCTCCGAGGTGCAGTGGGGGAGACGAGGCCTGCAAGGTGTGGGAGGGGCTGGGGGGGCAACGCCACCAAGCCTGAGTCCTGGGGCCAAGAAGGGTGGAGCGACTGGGGAACCCCAGACAGAGGGCCTCTGGGGAACACCCACATCTACGGGTGTGAAGGGGGTCCATCCACAGCAGGCCCTCGGGGTATGTGAGGAGCCCTTGTGCGAGAAAGACTTCCCCAACCTTGAGACCTTTCGCGAATAACAACCCTTCCGATCTCACAGAAGTTTCTCATTCTGATGAGGAGGGGTATTAGTTCTCCAGAGATGCACCGTGTCATGGCCCTGGAGGCCAGAAGTCTGGGATCGAGGAGACAGGAGGCCCGGCTCTTCTGACGCCGTGAGGGAGAATCTGCTCCAGGCCCTTCCCCTGGCTCCAGGGGTTTGCTGGCAATCTTTGAGGCGCCTCGGCTGTAGAAGCATTGCTGAGATCAACCGTCCACCTTCATCTTCACGTGGTGTTCTCTGTGTGTGTGTGTCTCTGTCCAAGTGTCCCCTTTCCAGGAGGACATGGGTCACATTGGCTTGGGGGTTCCCCCTACTCCTGTATGAAAAGTGAAGGTGTTAGTCGCTCAGTCATGTCCGAGTCTTTGTGACCCCATGGACTGCAGACTGCCAGCTGCCTCTTGCTTGAAATTCTCCAGGCAAGAATACAGGAGTGGGTTGCCATGCCCTCCTCCAGGGGATCTTCCCGACCCAGGGATCGAACCCGTGTCTCTTAAGTCTCCTGCATTGAGGGAAGATCGATCCCTGCTCCTGGAGGGCTTCACTGATGCGGAAGCGCCACTCCTTCCAGCGGTGGGCGCGATTCCAGCTCACCCCTCCCGCTGCTGGTCGGTGAGCTCTGGCCTTGGTGGTGCTGTCCTGTCACCTGGGAGCCCCTTGAGAGTGGCACTTTGCCTTCCTCATCGTGGTCCCCAGTACCTGGCCTGGCAAAGTGCGGGCTCAGAAATGTTGCAAACCACAGGGCAGGTTGGCTGGCCACACTCAGCCTGCTGCGGTGTCAGAGGGTCCCCGAAACCCCACAAATTTCCTTGAATCTCCATCCCTTCTGTTTGGACATCGCGAACAGACGAGTTTATAACTGCTATCTTATCTCATGTCTGGATACCAGGGGGGACAGGGAGGAGGTGGTTCTCTCTGCTGTGATGAGAAGAGCCCCTCGTGTGAGGGCAGGTGACAGGGCTCTGGGAGAAGAAGCCAGGTATCCAGGGCCCTGCAGGCAGGGGTCAGACCTGGGGGACAGGCAGTAGGAATGTGGAAGAAGCCAGGTGACTGGATGGGGGATGCACTGGACTTTTCCATGCATGACTTATTTCAAGCAGAATTTCAGCCGGGGCGGGAGGAAATTGGAGGTGAGAGCCATGGGATGCACAGAGGTGGATGGAAGAGCGGGTACTGGAGTGCAGAACAGGCCAGACTCCTGGTGGTTTGACTCTGGGGAGGGTAGGGGGAGAGGGAGGGAGCAGGGATGACCCTGGAGGTCTGGCCTGAACCCCGGGGAGTATTGAGGTCACATTGACTGGAAAGCAAGGGGCTAGCTGGTTGAGAGTTCTGGAGGGTGGATGGAGGCTTTGATTCTGGACGTGCCAAATTTGAGATGCCTGACATCTCTGGTTTTTTCTCTCCTTATATTCTTTCACTACCACTTCCTACCGTCTGTCACCCAAGTCCAGGTTTCTGGTGTGACACAAGATGTCCACACAGGACGAGTCCACGCATGTTCCCAGGAAAGATGCGGACTGGAAACTTATTCATCTTGAGAGTTCCTTTTTTTCTTTTTAATGTATTTAATTGGAGGCTTATTACTTTACAGTATTGTAGTGGCTTTTGCCATGCATTGACATGAATCAGCCATGGGTGTACATGTCCCCCATCCTGAACCCCCCTCCCCCCTCCCTCCCCACCCCTCACGGTCCTCCCAGTGCGACAGCCCTGAGCGCCCTGTCTCATGCATCGAACCTGGACTGGCGATCTGTTTCACTTATGGTAATATACATGTTTCAGTGCTATTCTCAACTTGAGAGTTCCTTTAAGGAAAGAAACCGAATGATGAATAAAATAGGTGGTATGATTGTATCTATTTATTTGACTGACAAATATCACAAAGGGAAGGGGCTCCATGCAGGGGGGGAGCTGAAGCCACCCCTTTCTGTCCTCTTCACTAGATGCCTCTGGCTCATTCTTTAAGACTGGGGCATCCTTGGGGATCCAGTGGTTAAGCATCCACCCACCAAGGCAGGGGACACAGGTTCGATCCCTGGTCTGGGAAGATCCCAGACGCCCAGAAGAAACTAAGTCCATGAGCCACAGCTCCTGAGCC